GTTTTTCTAACTCCAGGTCTTTGCACATTTCATTATAGTAACTGGCTTTGTCTTCTCAAGCTGCTCTTTTAAATCTTCTGTTCAGCTCTGTTATCTTGTCTATTTGCTTTAGCTACTCTCTGTTCAAGGGCAAGTTTCAGAGTCTCTCCTGACTTCCATTTTGATCTTTTATTCCTTTCTTGTCTTTTTAATGACCTCTTGCTTTCTTCATGGATGATGTTCTTGATGTCATCCCATAATTTTTCTGGTTTTCAGACACTGGTGTTCAATGCATCAATTCTGTTCTTTAGATAGTCTCTAAATTCAGGAGGGATATTATCAAGGTCCTATTTTGGCTCTTGTGGACTTGTTTTAATTGTCTTCAGCTTCAACTTGAACTTGCATATGAGGAGTTGATGATCTGTTCCACAATCAGCTCCTCGCCTTGTGTTGGCTGAAGATACTGAACTTCTCCATCACTTCTTGCCACAGATGTAGTCAGTCTGATTCCTGTGTATTCCTTCTATGTGTACAAAGTCCAAGTGTACAGCCATTGTTTATGCTGAAAAAATGGTATTTGCAATGAATAAGTCATTAGTCTTGCAAAATTCTATCATGCGATCTCCAGTGTTATTTCTATCACTGAGGCCATATTTTCCAACTACCAGTGACTCTTCTTTGTTTCCAACTTTTGCATTCCAGTCACCTGTGATAATCAACACATCTTGATTACATGTTTGCTCAATTTCAGACTGCAGAAGTTGGGAGAAATCTTCGATTTCCTCATCTTTGGTTTTGGTGATTGGTGCATGTTGTTGTTATGTGCCATCGAGTTGGACCCAACTCACAGTGACCCCTCCTTGGGTTCCTGAGGCACTATCACTATGGAAGTAGATTGCCCAACCTTCCTTCCGAGGAGTGGCTGGTGGGTTTGAACCGCCAGCCTTCTGATAGGCAGTCAAGGGCCTTAGGTACTACGCTACCAGAGCTCCTGGTTGGTGCATAGATTTGAATAGTAATAGTATTAACTGGTCTTCCTTGTAGACATATGGATATTATCCTATCACTGACAGCACTGTACTTCAGGAGAGATCTTGAAAGAGTCTTTGTGATGATAAAACACCACACCATTCCTCTTCAGTCTGTCATTCCCAGCATAGTAGATCATATGGTTGTCTCATTCAAAATGGCCAGAACCAGTCCATTTCAGCTCATTAATGCCTATGGTATCAATCTTCATGCATTCCATTTCAATTCTGACAACTTCCAGTTTTCCTAGATTCATACATTCCATGTTCTGATTATTAATGGATGTTTGCAGCTGTTTCTACTCATTTTGAGTGATGCCACATCACCCAATGTAGGTCCTGAAGGCTTTACTCCATCCGTATCTTTAAAGTTGTCTCTACTCTGAGGAGTCAGCTCTTTCCCAGTTATATTGAGTGCCTTCCAACCTGAGGGGCTTATCTTCCAGGACTGTATCAGACAGTGTTTCAGGGCTATTCATAAAGTTTTCCAGTAACATATCAGACAGTGTTTCACTGCTACTCATAAGATTTTCACTGGTTAATTCTTTGAGAAATGGATGGCCTCTTCCTTTTTCTCTTAGTCTGGAAGCTCCGCTGAAGCCTGTCCACCATGGATAACCCTGCTCACATTTTGTAACACCAGTGGCATAGCCTCCAGCCTCATAGCAACACACAAGCCACCACAGGACAACAAGCTGGCAGACAAGTTCATCTCCCTTAGTTGTTCCTAGGAAATCTGGTAGCATAGTGCCTAAGGCACTTGACTGCTAACCAGAAGGCTGGCAGTTCAAACCCACCAGCCACTCCTCGGAAGGAAGGTTGGGCAATCTACTTCCGTAGTGAGACCGCGTTGGAAACCCAAGGAGGGGTCGCTATGAGTCGGAGCCGACTCAATGGCACATAACAACAGTTGTTCCTAATCACTCTGCTCACTTCACCAATTCAGGGTCCAGCCTTAAATAAAGCTGCACCAGAAGCCACAAGACATACGCCCACCTACCCATCCAGAGGCCCAGCCCTAAATGAAGCCACCCCCAGGAGGTCCAAGCTGCACACCCACCTACCTGTCTGGAGGCCCAGCCCTAAATAAAGCCTCTCCCAGAAGCCCCAAGCCATGTGCCTGCCTACCTGTCTAGAGGTGAGCAATTCCAGTTATATTCCCAACTATTTTCTTTTTTCAGTGGAATTTAAGATTATCCTTACATTAATATGAAAAAAGAAAGTCAATAATAATAAAGATAATTTTGAAGACGATTATCTACTTACCTTTCAAGATTAATTATAAAACTATTTTTGAAGAAGAAAATTTCTGTACAAATAGCAATAGACAAACCAATGGAATAGAACAGAGAGCCCAGAAATCAATCCTACGGTGGATTGCTTCATGTGGCCCTTCTATGTCATTGTCCTCCATTTCGTGATGTACTGTAAATCCTATTATCCATGCCTCTTTTGGGTTGTGTACTAATTAAGGTTGTGTGTGAACTTAGCTGGGCAGCTGGTAGTAGTTTTCCCCGATAATGACTGGCAATCAATTCCATCATAGAATTTGCCGTGAGCAACTGAGTATCTGCTTTTAAACTTCTGATTGTTAGTCATCCACTTGGGGTATTTCTGCTGAAGCAGCATGAAGTAACCAAAACAGGTGGGATATATCTTGAGTCCAGCCTTGCTGGAAGGGGTAACTCAAATAACCACCATTAGCTTCCTTGAGGGTATATATAGGAATCTCCTGGGAAGGTTAACTCTCTCTCTTGCTTGGTTCTGCATTTTGGCTCATCGTCAGCTCACCCCTGGATCTGAAATAGCAGCCATCATTTGATCTGGTGATTTAGGTTCATCAAACCCCAAGAACTGGGAGGATTCTCCAGACCTACTTACAGAACTGGTACTTGCCAGCCTCCCAGCCTCCACCACCACTACCTGAGACGATCCCTTGGGTGTCTGTTGAGTTCTGTGAGATGTTATAGCAAAACACAGTACCTTAAGACAGGTGGGAGATTACTGAGAGGAGGAAGAAGAGTTAATGTCTGAAATGATGGAATGGCACAGTAGTTTGGACATTTGGGACATCTTTAACCTCCACCTCATGGGGACCAGCCTTGTGCTGATTTAAGAGAAATTGTTCAAGCAAATCCACACATACGAAGGGATTTGGTAATATAAGACAGGAGGTACTACAAAGTCATTAGGAAGTGGATGAATTATTTAAGAAATGATGCTATGAGAACTAGCTATAAATACAGGGTAAGATTTCTACTTCACAAAAGTCACAAAAATTAATTCAAGGTGAATTAGAAATATTTTGAAATTCAAAATTTTAATACTTTTAGAAAAATATGTAATAGGATTTTTAAGGACCCCAGGGAAGGAACAACATTTTTAAACATAACACAAAAAAGCTCAATCATAAAGGAAAAGAATTAACTGAACTATTCTGTACAATTAAAGATAACCCCAGACTGGTCTTAAAAGCTTACGAGCAGCCATCTAAGATGCCACTGTTGGTCTCTCCTTTTACGGAACAAAGAACACTGAAGAAAATCAAAGACATATGAAAACAATCAGTCCAAGGGACTAGTAGCCTATAGGAATCTCAGCCTACATGGCCCTGAGACCAGAAGAACTAAATGGTGCCCAGTTACCAACTCAGAAAGGGATCAAAACTAGAGATCCTGGATAGAGTGGGAGGATATGTGTGGAACAAAATTCAAAAACACAAAAAATGGCCAGAATGGTCAGAGAGAGACTGGTGAACCCCTGAGATTAGGCCCCAGTTTACCCTTTGAGCCTGAAATTGGACTCACTCCTGTGGGTTAGCTCTCAGCCAAACAACAGAAAGACTACAAGCTGAACATCTACCCCAGGGAGATGTGCCTCTTAGAATGGTCAATCATGAAAGATCAGAAGGTAATATTTCATGGGAGAAAGCTAGACAGACAGGAATGTATAGGTAAGAAGGACACAGGGAAGGGGTAACCACAGGGAAGAGGTGGGAGGAGAATTTTTCCATTGTGGGGACTATAACTGATACCATGAAACAAAATGTATATGAACTGCTGAGTGTAAAATAAATCTGCTTTGAAAATTTACACCTAAAGCACAATAAAAAATTTAAGGAAAAAAAAAAAGGATAATCCCAGACCAAGTGAAAGACCAGCCATTTACTAAAAAAAGCTCTCTAACAGATAATGCATTATGATGAAGACAAGCAATCCAAAAGAAAAACAGGCATGGGTTTTAGAAAATAAATTCATAATCTAATGCCCAATAAATACTGAAATGAAACTAAGATTCTTTAGTCAGAGCAATATAAAATAAAACTAAGAGATACCATCTTATAGCTCTCAGACTAGAAAACTTAAAAAGTCTGATAAAACTAAGTTGTTGATGTGTCACAAACTAATGTCTAATAAATACCTGCAATGAAACTAAGATTCTTGGTTATCAGGGAAATGTAAATTAAAACAAAGAGATAGCATCTCATAGCTCTCAGATTGAAAACTTAAAAGTTCTAATAAGACTAAGTTGCTGGTGCAGAGATAGGAAAACTAGAATTCTCTTACACTACTTTGTAAGTGCAAACTTGCACAGCACTTCTTAAGAAAACAATATGACAACATCTGAAGTCATGGACTATATACATCTACTACTACCTGAAATGCTATATTTTTAGGCCTATGTCCACAATATCTAGCACATTTGCCCGAGGAAACGTGATCAAGAATGTATACTTGTAGCATTGTTCAAACTGACAAAAAAAAAAAAAAATGAAATGACCATTGGGGTAAATACTAAGCAACAGTTGAGCAGCACAAGTTATGAGAGATTTTGTACAATAGGATATCATGAATATAAACTTTAAAATATGCTACTATATATTGTTTGTGGATACAAACTTATGTGGTAAAGTATAAAATCTTAAATAGTAACTTCAGAATAATATATTAGCTCTAAGTAGGGAAGGAGAAGAATGGGGTCTGGAGGAATACAAAATAAGTAAGATTTTATTTTTGTAAAAATCAGAAGCAAATATGGCAAAGAAGTTTGTCAAGTGTACAAGGGCATTTATATTGTATTTTTTCAGTATATTTGAAATATTTTAAAATTAAAAATAATTTTAATGGGCACATATGGTATAACAATCAAATAACATTATTGACACCACAAAACTTATGAATAACATTCATTTTAAGTCACAAATTTATATAATACATTAGAGCATGTGATAAGAGTCAAAAATAAATTTTAAATTTTATGTTACTTTAGGGTTTTAAATTAATAATTTGCTAATGGGCTTTGAAGCTCATGCAGCTTCAAAGTGTTGATATGCAAAAATTTCAAGGCATGCTATCCTTCTTGTTAGTGTTGTTGACACTACATAAATAAAACTTTATTTAGAATTTCAGTCTTGTTTTGGAAAGCTTTTTCTTTACCATATAGACAGTAACGAGCTTTATATTTATTTGGAAGTCTTAAAGAAATGTGTTAAGAGTTCCAAGTATGAACAATAGGCACTCCAGTTAATTACAGTGTTTTATCAGGAACCTGATACCCTACTACTAATGTGAAAACAATGCTCCATTCTTCCCTTTCCTTTTCTACATGGGGACTGGGTCAGAAGCCAAGAAGTAGCAATACTGGAAAAGTTAAAAACAAAGCCTTATTATAAAACCATTTTTAAGGGGGGAAAAAAAAGTTTCACAAACAAGTAACAAAATCCTCTGGGATTACTACATTAGAAAGAGACACAGAGAAGATTTTAAGACGGGTTAAAAAGAGGTAGTAGAATTTTTCTATCTAACTTCATTTACTGACTGCTTCAGCCTCAAAGATAGAAGATAAGAAATACTACCCAGAAAAAAAGTAGGAGACAGACAAAACTGGGTAGAACACTGCATTTACAAATACTCACACTCGGCTGTAATCCTCTGACCACATTCATACTATTTCAATAATACCCATTTTACCCAGTTGATGGTAAGCAGTGATTTTATTTAACATGAGCTGCTTTTTGCCAATAAAACATTTGCAACAGATGATCAGATGATCTTAAGTTTCCTAGCTATTACATATGCTAGTATTTCCCATGAAATGGAAGACTGCAATAAAAGTATTCCAAGTTCCAAATTTCTATACTTACATATTTGGGGCACAATTATTAAGAGCGATAGTGCTGTGGCAAAGGACAGGTTTTCACCTACTCCACTTCAGCCTACTATACTGAATTTTACTTACTATTAAAATTCTTAACTTTTATTTCTGAAGACCAAAAAGAATTAGCTCCCATAAATCCCTTATTTAGTGTATCTTTGGCCAATAATAATAGCAAAATTTTGCTTACAGAATTGAAGCCTTCCTACAACACTTTTAAATTTTGTATTTTCCCATCAGCTCTTATGTTTCAGAAATACTCATTTATTTCCCCTCTCATTACAGGGATGAATGAATACCTCTCTGCTTCATGAATGAAATAATCTAATTCCTGTTTCTCTCAAATTTTCACCCTCTGGAGACTCACTCACACTGAGTAATAAATTCATTGACAAGTATGTAAGTCAGATTTTACTCATACATGGCAATTCCTTAAGGAAAGTGTCAGTGTCATGAATTTAATTTTCTAAATTTCATAATCCTTGATAAATGGAGACACCTTAAAGTCAGTTTACACTCTTTTATATAGGATTTCAGAGCATACTTCAAATAGCTTAAGATAAGCCATATTAAGTAGCTTAGTCCCTTTTCATAATTAAAAAATCTACAAATATCAGAATATTTCTGTTTTTCTCAAACTAATAAATAACAAGTCTTAAAACATCTGCAGATATAAATCATTAACCTCTCAATTCATTCTGCCTCACTTGGACTGTTGTACAATACAGATCAACAAACTGAATAAATTTATCAGTCTAATATAGTTGCTATAATGCTTTCACAAATTCCAATTCTATAATTTAGGGTACTTTCGTATTTATTTTAAAATATACAAACAGATTAAACTATTAATATAAATATTTTCTCTCAAATATGTAATATTCTTATGTAAAAGAAAAGGTTTCGAAACATTTACAAAGCAATCTAAAGGTAAGTAAACCTGATTTTTGGATCATTACATTAACCAAAATAATTTTCCAGAGAAGCTCCTATTTAAAAGTAATGCTCACTGGCTTCTTCACATCAACACTTTTAAGATGGGTCCAGATCCACTGTCTTTACTTGATTTACTTCAGGGATCATTTCCAATGAAAAAAGTATTTTAGAAAAAGGTCTCACGACAGAGTGGACAGGTGGATTTGTTGCTAGACGTAAACCATTTGTACTGAAACAGAAAAAGGTTTTAATGTTAAAATAAATTTTTAAAGCTGACATCTTAAAGACACACATCTAAAGTAATCTTAAAATAATCAAGTGAAAAAAGGAAAATACTAAAATACTTGTTCTCTCCATTTATCTCCAAAAACAACATAACTGAGTATTACTTCTAAAGCTACACTACTAATGATTCTTTTTATCTAGGCTCATGCAAAGGAGCCCTGGTGCCGCATTGGTTAAGTGCTCAGAAGCTAACTGAAAGGTCAGTGGTTCAAACCCACCAGTCGATCTGTGGGAGAAAAGACTTGGCAATCTGTTCTTGTAAAGATTTCAGCCTAGGAAACCCTACAGGGCAGTTCTATATTGTCCTATAGGGTCGCTATGAGTCAGAATCAACTTAATGGCACACAACCACTAAGAAGGAAGATCTCCTGGGAAGCAATGGAACATAGGGCAACTTTCCTTTCAATATGATGCCTGAAAAGAGTAAAGCGTTTTGATATCAGAAAGCAGAAAGGTGTAAAATCTTTAACAGCTTGCAAGTTTTAAAGCCTGTCTCTCATCTATAAACTAGGAATCAAATCATCTTCTACTTCTTTCTGGAGATAAAATGAGAACAAATATATGTTCTCATACACAGACACACACGTATGTGTTTGTACAAACTCCCATGCATACACACAGTTGTTGTTAGCTGTTTGAGTCAATCCTGATTCATGGTGATCTCATGCACAATGGCATGAAATGTGGCCTGGTCCTGTGCCATCCCCCATGGTCAGCTGCAGATCACACCAGTGTGAACCATAGGGGTTTTTCATTGGCTGATTTTCAGAAGCAGATCATCAGGCCTTTCTTCCTAGTCTATCTTAGGAAACTCCACTGAAACCTGCTCAGCATCACAGTAACACACAAGCCTCCAGCAACAGATGGTTGGTACAGTGTGTGAGGTGCACTGGCCAGGAATCAAATCTGGGCCTACCACATGGAAGGTGAGAATTTTACCACTGAACTACTAATGCCTCATAATACATACAAAATACACACATACATATACTTGTGTGTGTGTTTTTGTACATACACAGAATTACCTTGGTCTTTGGTATGCAAATATTAGGGTTTTTTTTTTTTTCCTTCCCTCTCCTCTAAACTTTCTATTTCTCTTATACCTTAAAAAGTGAACTTCCCTCCAACCATCAACATTCCTGCTCCCAGTCCCAATTCTTTGTCTCTAACATGCTCTACATTTCACAAGACAATCTATATCTTGAAAGCTAAGAGCTATAATAGAAACACCCATTTATTAAAGTGCTTTGCTGCTATCAGTCTCAGTAAAGTACTGATTACCTTTTTCAAATTTTAAAAAATCACTTTTCAACGTCTCCCATTAACTTAAGTCTGACATTCACTGTTTTCTTTTCCAAAGTTAGGTATCACATAATATACACTTAACATGCACAAAATAGTACAGAAGATCATTTCTTTAGACTTACCAAACAGGCTGAATGGAACTTTTTCTTGCATGTTCTACAGGCTTTTTTGGGTAGAGAATAGTTGAAACCATGAATGACTGAGAAACAGATCATGCAATCTTCAACACCCTCAAAGCGTTTATCGACATTATTTTTCCATAATGCTAAGCCTTCCATAATACTTCCATTCTGTTAACAAGAAGGAAAAAAAAAAACCTCAATATATACTACATACCATCAATGTTATCTGTATTAAATTTCTCAATTTTTCAAAGCTAAATTGTAATTCTAAGAAGAGAATCTGCTTGGCTATCCTCTTACCTCCTAAGCTTTGAGTACTGCCTTTTAAAATGACCACTTAAATTTTAAGAAACAGATGTGATTTTTTCCCTTTAAAGACAGACTCAAAAGAACAGCTTCTACACCAATAGTGTAAGTCTTTTAGTCTCAGGTTGTTTCATGACACCCTTTTAATGATTAAATCATTTAGATCAATCAGTTCTCCTAAGTTTTAACTGACAGTGATGAAATTATCGCAGTTTCTCAACTACTGATTTATTCCAGCTTTACATACAATACTGGTGGACACATTTGTTTTAAAATAACTTTCCTTTACTGCAGAATGCCTGTGAGGTATCACAATGTGAAAGTACAACTAGAGAAGATCTACAATTTGTGTAAAGGTCAAATACTCTGTCTTTGACAGTACTGAGATTTCTCTAACCACAAAAGAGAGTTGAAATGTTAAAAGTAGCTCAGAAGGCATTCACCTGCCCAGTATCTTACAAAAAGATTCATTCTCAAATAATTTCCTTAATAAGGAGCCCTGGTGGCACAATGATTAAGTGTTCAGCTACTAACTTTTGAAAAGTCAACGGTTCAAACCCACCAGCACCTCTGCAAGAGAAAAGACTTAGTGATCTGCTCCCGTCATTACAGCCTAGGAAACCCAATGGGGCAGTTCTACTACCATACTGAATCACTAAGTTGGAATCAACTTAATGGCATATGACAACACATATCATTCTACATTTTGTACATGAGGTAAAGTCAATTCCTCTCAAACATCAGAGAATGGGAGCTTTAAAAATTAAAAACGCTGGCACGTTTAAGTCATTTAGGCATATATCTGTGATTATCCAACAACATATTTTTATTTTAAGCACAAGAGATACATTTTAGGTTGTACTGCCTAAGGCATTTGACTGCTAACCAGAAGGCTGGCAGTTCAAACCCACCAGCCACTCCTTGGAAGGAAGGTTGGGCAATCTACTTCCATAGTGATACCACCTCAGAAACCCAAGGAGGGGTCGCTATGAGTTGGATCCAACACGGCAGTGGTTGTGTTTTGCAGTTTGCCTGCTAAAATAGTAGATCATCAGGCTTTTGCTAGTTTGGAAAACCAAACTTATAAGCAGAAACTTACTTGATGGGTGAGGTAAGTGCTTAACTGCAGCATCCAGTTCCGCCACTGCTGCACAGCCACTCCAACTCTTTTCCCACTTTCCACCGTTATTGAACCCAGTGGGTAATTTGAAGGTAGCTGGATTATAAGTTCAATAACTATGTCCTCAATAGTATAAGTAGCCATTACTTCTCGAGTGGCAGCTCGAGCTTTAACCTGCAACACATGGATTTTGGGGTAATATTTTTCCCTGAAATTACTTTCATTCAAAAAACATTTCAATAGGTTGACTATTAGCAGCCAAAGTTTTCATTCAAAGGAAGTGCAGCTAGACATATTCATTCATTTGACATAAGAAACTTAGTAAAATAAATAGCTTTAAATACCTGGAATATTTTATAGTGATTTTATGACACTGAAAGCTCAATACAGTTAAGACACAAATTATTATCCTTTACTAACATATTGTTCTGATTACTAACATATTGTTCTGACTTTCCCATTTTCAGGCTGAAAACCACAGAATCATCTTCTACTCCTCCTCCTACTTTATCCTTGATATTAACTAGCTACAAGTTCAGCTAAATCACCACCATAAAATATCTCTCATCCCTGTCCTTTTACATTCCCAATGACACTGCCTCCTCATTGCTCATAATGTCTACACCAAGAGTCTTCTCTAACTACTCATTGGAATCCAATCTCTATGCCAATAGCCCTTTCTATATATTGCAATCAAAGCAATTTCATAAATCCTAATTCTGACCATGCCACTGTCTGAATGAAAACTCTTCGGTGGCTGAAGAGTACCAAATCTCTTAGACTGTAATTAGAGGGGTACTTCAATATGGCCCTAACTCATTGTTCAAACAGTCTGCTTGCCTGACTATTCTCCATCAGGAATCCTACTCTACATAAACACTGGGTTATTTATCATTTCCTCGGCAACCACAGAAGTTATATTCTCACCTCCATGTTTGTTTTTGCTATACTATTTTCTCTGTATCAAATACCTTTCCCCTCAGTTTTCAACTAACAAAATCTTGCCCATCTCAATGTAATCTTCCTCCATGCAGTCTCACCTAATGCCCTTTGCCTGATAAAACCTTTTCCCACTCTGATCCATTAGCATGCTGTCTCTTAATGTAACACTTGCCAGCTTCCAATACAAAACAACAATATCAACATTGGTCTTTTCCCTCTGTTAGGTTTTATGCTATTATAGAACAGGAATCCAACCTATTGAACTGTTTGTTTCCTAGGCAATTGGCCCATAGATTCCAATATATGCTTTATATGAACTTACAGATGCTCAAAAACTATGTGGTGAGTAAATAAATCTATAAAATTACACCATCATGTCAATCCATACTTTAAGCAATTTTGACACACAAAATTCCAAAAACAGAACAGACAATTTTTATAAATTCAGAACCAAGGACTACAATTTTGTGATATTTTTGTGATGATATTCATTATAATGACAGACATTACCAATATTCGAATAACTTTTCTAGAGAAAGCTGAGCGAATACTAACCGTCATGCCATTAAAGAGTTGTGTACTTGTTTGTACAGAAGATATTTCTTGAAAAGAAAGCACATTGCTGACATACTTGCTTGTAAATCTATCTACAATATTGAAAATACGCTTCTCACTACTATTCCACCACAGCCTAACCATAGCGGGCAAGTCTTTCAATGTCATATGATAGACTGAACAAGCCAAGTGTGGAATTTGGTATGGAAGAGTTGCTGTTTCTGAGGAAAAAACAAATTCTTAGTTAGTAACATGTATTTCTTACATAGAATAACAGACCAATATTACTATTTTCCTTAGAAAATCATCTGCAATTTCTCAACAATAGTGGCATAGCTCATAAAACAAAGAAACCAGAACCCATAGAATACCAGCTTCCTCCCACATTTTCAAAATGAACCATAAAATCACAAAAAGTAGAGTGAAAATCTCAACTGACACAGAAGAATCTGCCTATAACTAGCATTCTATATTTCACATGAATGACCACTGATAAAATACAACACACACACACACACACACACACATCTTTGTTCAACAGATTCACTAGGAGTATTTATGAGAAGCAAAAAAAAAAAATTATGATTTAGGACTGATTAAAGTTTTAAAAGTTCTTTGCAGTTTGTTTCAGGATTGGGCTGATTAGTGCTATCTACCAGGTTA